AACGGGGTAAATAACAGACTGCAGGGGGGTAACGGGGTAAATAACAGACTGTAGGGGGGTAACGGGGTATCGGGGTATAACGGCTCTACCGTCTCTGACGAGCTGCATGAAGTCCCGAACCGACTGATCCACCAGAACTCCGTGAAACACAACCGGTCTGAAGTTCTGGTGCTCGAAGGACCGAACCAGACGGACGGTGACCACCGCTGCCCCGTCGGCCATGTCCCGCTGCCAACGGCTCTCTAACGGCTCTCTAACGGCTCTCTAACGGCTCTCTAACGGCTGCTAACGGCTCTCTCCGGTCCGGTAACGGCAGTGAGTGCAGAGACCAGAACTATCGATCACCTTCAGACTCGATGAATCGATCACCGAGCTGCTGCTTCATGTTTATGGGCAGAGCGGCAGACAGCGCCACCTGCTGTACCGGAGAGGGAATACAAACTACATTCATATGTTAATATATCTTTATTTATATGTTTCTGTATTTCTTTATTTATGAAAATGGCTATTTCTGTATCTTTACATGTATTTATACATTTATTCTACATTTATACACTTATTTATATATTTATTTTATTTATGTATTATTCTACATTTGTATTTATTTAATTATTTATGTCTTTATTTCTACATTTATTTCTGTATTTTTACATGTATTTAAATATTAAACATTTATTCTATATGTATACGTGTATTTATTTATGTATTTATTTGTGTGTATGTAAACTGAGAGAGTGGGACCAACATCAGTCTGAAGCAGGATTGGTCAGGGAGAGATTAATAGCAGGACAGTAATGTAACTAGTAATGTAACTAATTACTGTTGGCAGGGACTATTGCTATTAATATTATATATAATATTACTTTTGAAAAGAGTAATGAGTAATAAATGAGTATCCCGACACTGGTACTGAATAGAAATAGGTTTAAAATATAAATATTATATAAATAGGTTAGGTTGCATGAATCAATCGATTGTTTTACAAATACGTATTTTTCCATTAAACTTAAACCATCACTTGGTTTCACTATTCACTATCTCAGGAGCAACATAATACCAGAGCACTGACACAGTAAGAGAAATAAATACAAATCTCAGAATCAGATTTATTTCAGTCAATAACAACATGTTTCTTAGTGGCTACTAGAGGTGAAACAGTTTAAGTGTGAAATATTCCATTACAAGGAAAGTACTGCATTGAATATATTGTTTAAGTAAAAGTATTAAAGTATAATCAGAAACAAATATATATTATATCTTTGTCGACATTATGAAGAAATAACAGTAAAATAAAGTCTCATCTTTCTTTCTTCACACAAACTGTAAAACGTGGAGCTGAAATGTGCATAAAGTCTCAGAGCTGCGACGATTAGTCGATTAATCGATCAGTTGATTAATTGTTTTGAGTCTTTAAGAACAAAATGTCCAATGTGAGTTCAAACATTTCCTGCTTTCTTCAGTCCTGACAGTAAACTGAATATTTTCTGACATTTTATGGACCAACCAACTAATCGATTAATCTAGAAAACAATCGTTGGTTGCAGCCTTCGATAACACCAAACTTCCACCAGTCAGTGTAATGTAATGTCTGACAGCTGAGGCATCATTAACGTGACGTAAACTCTGATTGCAGTGTTTGTTGTTGTTATTTGTCCGCACAGTGAAACTTTTGCAAAAAGAATTTCTAAAAATAAATAAGAAATCTTTCTTTCAAAAGTCAGAACAAACTGAAAGCAGCAGGATGTTGGACCGGGTCGCTGCTCAGACCGGTGGAGTTCAGACTCTCACAGAGAGCAGAGACTCCTCTGGGTTGTCCAGGTTTCTTTCCCTTTCTGTCTCGACCACTCAGACGTCACCCGAGCTGCGAGGAGGATCCACCTCCGCTGGCTCCTGGATGTTCGGGGGTCGGTGTCTGGCGCTCTCCCAGCCCCTGCGGATCTTCGCCAGCCGCCACGTGATGCAAGGCAGAGCCAGGAAGATCCGTCCCACCAGGACCGTGCAGGGCAGGATGAGGGCCAGCAGGTAGACCGGTGGCAGGTAATAAGGGTAGGCGAAGGGGAAGAAGGCAAAGTCCCAGCCGAAGAACAACGTGTGCATGACGGAGAGAGTTAGGGCCGCGTAACCGAGTCCCGACTGCAGACGCACAAAGAGACAGAGGATTTAAAGTCAGAACAAAGAGTACAAGAGGGTCTTCAACATTTTACTATTACTATTCATTTAGACTTTATCTCTGGTTGGTTTCTCTCGTGCTGCAATAAAGAACTGATTCATAGCATCTAGATTGGCTGTTTTTCTTCACAACATACAGAACTAGAGTCATTTACAGCTCATATTAATGAATTAATCACAGTGTACAGTACAATCAGTGAGTTCTGCTGACCTGAACAAACGTGAACTCCCTCCAGTTGAGGGCATTTCCCACAGAGGGCAGCGAGGTGACAGCCAGCAGAGCGAGGACTCCGAATCCCAGAATTCCACAGGACAGGTAAAGGTCGGACCTCCACACCTGCTGCTCCACCCAGGAGTTCTCAACGCCGGCTTTCACCTCAAAGTGAACAACAAACGGACACATCAGAACGTCCAGAGACACGGTGTGTGTCGTACAGTCCGGCCTGCCCCAGTGCTCACCTGGCGGTACGCCGCGTTCAGCAGTGTGTACCCCGCGGCCCTCCGCAGCGCCAGACACACGCTGTACACGGCGTGAAGCGCGGCGCACAGGAAGCTCAGCAGGCCCAGCTGCTTCCGCCCGCACAGCCACGAGTCCAGCCAGCGAGGAAATCTCTTGTATTTGGTTCCCCGGCCCAACTGGAGCACCGCCGCCAGCAGACCTGAGGACGCACAGTGGACAGTCATCAGGAACCTGACTGTTTCACAGATTATCAGGATGGATGGAGTGAAAGTTGTTCAGTTATAAATGTTTGTGCTGTCCAATTACCTTCTAGCTTTACTCCAGGTTCAGACCACATGATCTGTTCCTCCTACAGGCAGGCTCTCAGGGGAGCACACTTTTTCTACTGTCGCAGGGGGAAATATTTTCTGATATTTTCTGATCTGAAGGTAATGATATCGGGCTGCTTCAGTGGAGATGGCTACAACAGGCGTATGTTAGTGATGAGTCACCCTCATGCACAATCCATGATGAAGATGCAGAAAAATAGAAATTCATGATAAAAATAGCTCATCGCTTTGCAATTTTGTCCAATTGTTGCAACTTTTCTGCAAATTCATCCAATCGTAGTTTCCTGCACCAAACGTTGAGTCATACTTCACCAAACTCACTTCCTTGTTTCTAGTGTTGAAGACACAAACTGACCCTCCAAACTGTTCTATTCTCACTGGAACAAGTTTAAATGCTTAAAAACATCCCAGCATGCATCGCGATTTTCTAGAAAGGCTGCAGTGAAATCAGACAGTATATGAGCTCCTCTGTAGTTCACACCCTGAATCTACAAACAACCTCCATTGTGCACTGATTCTGGCGCCATACACCTGCGTGGCGTCGCAGTCTGAACGCAGCGTTACGCCCTTTTTAATACCTGGTAGGTAGACGAGTGCCAGCGTAACCAGGGCGACTGCCGGCAGCGCCTCGTTGACCGTCACCAGAGGGAGCTGGTAGAAACTGTTCTCTCCTTTATCCAGGTAGGGCAGCAGGATGTGCCTCACAAAGCTGTAACCATAGAAGAAGAGGAAGAGGAGGAAGGTGGCCAAGATGGGGCCCCCCCAGGAGGGGAAGAGCATGAGCGGGGCCTCCTCGATGTCCCTGGACGCACACAGACCCCCCACATCCACGGGGCTGAAGCCGAGGCGGCGGGTCAGCTGCAGGACGGCGGCTTTAGAGTCGGAGCAGTCGCTGCAGATCAGAACCTGGAGATCAGGATTCTTGTTAAGATCTTTAAAATGCAAACTGTTTCACTGTGGACATCATTATTATTATTATTATTTAACCAAATTATCACAAACTTCATATGTTTGAGCAAGAAGCAAGAAAATCTACAAAAGAGAGGGAGGAGATCAAACAACCTGTTTCAATATTTACGAGCTCCAACTGTTTACATAAAGGCTGATGTACAGGAAGCTCAAACGAGCCTCACACAACCCAAGAGGAGAGGTAGAGACCCGGCGCTGTAAGCAGACTGCGAATACTCTGAATAAGTTGCTAAATTTGTTGCTTTTTAGAAATAAAGTTGCTAAAGTTGTCAGCAAATTTGCAACACTGTCTCTCTCTCCATCTGTGTGGATCTATTATAAACTCATGTAGGGCTTCCCCAAGATAGTCGACCCTCTTTTTGGTCGTCCGATAACAAAAACGTTAAATTCTGTGCACTGCTCGTTGCCACCAGAACAAAAGTTCAGGACTGTTTGCTACGTACGTTTCCATCTCCCATTAACCTCCTCAAGCTTAAAACTTCTGCAAAATTAAGGAATTTTAATCAAACTTTTCTGCTCTGATACTTAAAAACACACCAGCTTGTTAGTTTGGTCTCAATCTGACCTCACCTGTGCCTCCAGCTCACCTGTGCCTCCAGCTCACCT